AATAAAATTACAGCCCAATAGCCTCAAAAATTCTCAACAAAATATTAGCAAACTGAATTCAACACTACATTGAAAAGATCATACAGCATGATCAAGTGAGATTTATCCCAGAGATGCAAGGATGGCTCAATATCCACAAATCAATCAAAGTGATACACCATATTAACAAACTGATGAAGGAAAATCATATGATCATTTCGATAGTTGCAGTAAAAGCTTTTGACAAAATTCAATATCCATTTATGATAAAAACTCTCAACAAAGTGGGTATAAAGGAAACATACCTCAATATAATAAAGGCCATATATGACAAGCCCACAGCTAACATCATACTCAACAGTGGAAGGCTGAAAGCATTTCCTCTTAGATCAGGAGTAAGACAAGGATGCCCACACATGGCACTTTTGTTCAACATAGTATTGTAAATCCTAACCACAGCAGTCAGAGAAGAAGAAGAAATAAAAGGAATCCAAACTGGAAAGGAAAAAGTAAAATTGTACCTGTTTGCAGATGACATGATACTATACATAATAAATCCTAAAGATGTCATCAAAAAACTACTAGGACTCATCAGGGATTTGGTAAAGTTGCAGTATACAAAATTAATATACAGAAACCTGTTGCTTTTCTATATGCTAACAATGAACTATCAGAAAGGGAAACTAAGAAAACAATCCTGTTTGCAATTGCATCAAAAAGAATAAAATAGTTAGGAATAAATCTAACTAAGGAGGTAGAAGACCTGTACTTGGAAAAACTTAAGACACTGATGAAGAAAAGTGAAGGTGACACTAACAGCTGGAAAGATACACAGTACTCATGGATTGGAGGAATTAATATTGTTAAAATGACCATACTACCCAAGGCAATCTACAGATTCAATGCAATCCCTATAAAAATACCAATGGGATTTTTTCATAGAACTAGAACAAATTCTAAGATTTGTATGGAAACACAGAAGACTTCAAATATCCAAAACAATCTTGATAAAGAAACAAAGCTGGATTTCAAACTATAATACAAAGCTATGGTGATCAAAAAAACATGGTACTGGCACAAAAACAGACACATAGATCAATGGAACAGAATAGAGAGCCCAGAAATGAACCCACACTTTAATAGGAAATTAATCTTTGACAAAGCAGATAAGAATATACAGTGGGAAAAAGACAACCTCTTCAATAAATGCTGTTGGGAAAACTGGATAGCTGTATGCAAAAGGGTCAAACTGGACTACCTTCTCACACCATGCACCAAAGGACTTCAATGTAAGACCTGTAACCATGAAACTTCTAGAAGAAAGCATAGACAGTGTGCTCTTTGACATTGGTCTGGGTAATATATTTTTGGATATTTCTCCCCAGGCAAGGAAAACAAAAGCAAAAATAAACAAATGGGATTACATCAAGCTAAAAAGCTTTTGTACAACAAAGGAAACTATCAACAAAACAAAAAGGCCATGTACTGAATGGAGAATATATTTACAAATGATATATCTGAGAAGGGGTTAATATCCAAAATATACAAAGAACTCATACAGCTCAACATCAAAAAACCCCCAAGCAACCTGATTAAAGAAATGGCAGAGAATCTGAATAGACATTTTTCCGCAGAAGATATACAGATGTCCAAGAGGTATATGAAAAGCTGCTCAGTATCACTAGTCATCAGGAAAATGCAAATCAAACCCACAAAGAGATATCACCTCACAACTTTCAGAATTACTATTAACAAATAACAAATAACAAGTATTGGCGAGGGTGTGGAGAAAAGGGAACCTTCATGTACTGTTGGTGGGAATGTAAATTGCCGCAGCCACTGTGGAAAAGTGAAAAAAAATCCACAAAAAAAATTTGTGGATTCCTCAAAAATTAAAACCAGAACTACCATACAATCCAGCAGTTCTACTCTTGGGTATTTATCCAAAGAAAATGAAAAACACTAATTTGAAAAGACATGTACCCCTATTTTCATCATAGCATTATTTACAGTAGGCAAGATATAGAAGGAACCTAAGCACCCATCCACAGATGAATGGATAAAGAAGATGTGGTTGCAATAGCATATTACTCAGCCATAAAAAAGAATGAAGTCGTACCATTTCTGAAAACATGGATGGACCTAAAGGGCATTATGCTTAGTAAAATAAGTCAGAGAAAGACAGATACTGTATGATCTCACTTATATGTAGAATCAAAAAAACCAAAACAAATGAACAAATATAACAAAGCAGAAATAGAGTCAGAGATACAGAGAACAAACCGGTGGTTGCCAAAGGGGAGGGAATTGGGGAGAGGAGAGAAACAGGTGAGGGAGATTAAGAGGTACAAACTTCCAGTTGCACAGAAGTAAATGAGTCACAGGTATGAAATGTACAGTGTGGGGAATATAGTCAATAACTAATATCTTTGTATGGTGACATATTTGTTAACTAGATATCACGGTGATCATCTTGCAATGTATAGAAATATCGAATCACTGTTGTGTGATAGGACCTAACTTAGTGTTGTAGGTCAATTATACTTCAAAAACAAACAAACAAACATACTCATAGAAAAACATCAGATTTGTGGTTACCAGAGGTTGGGGTGTGGAGGGAGGGGGAATTGAATGAAGGCAGTGAAAAGGTATTGAACTGCCAATTATAAGAGAAATAAGTACTAGGGATCTAATGTACAGCATGATAAATATAATTAACACTGCTGTGTTATATATGAAAGTAAATCCTAAGAGTTCTCATCCCAAGGGGAAAAATATATATTTTTCTATTTCTTTAATTTTGTACCTATATGAGATGATAGACGTTCACTAAACTTACTAAGGTAATCATTTCATGATGTCTATAAGTCAATTATATCTCAATAAAACTGGAAGAAAAAAATTAAGGTGAAATCAATATTTTTTTCAGTAAAACAAAAGCCACGATACTTTTGTTGTTAGAAGACCTTTACTATAAGAATTGTTAAAAGTTTTTTAGGTAGAAGGAAAATCATATATTCGTAGGAAACTTAGGTCTACACAAAGGAATGAAAATCACCAGAAATGCTAAATATGTGAATAAATAAAAGTCTTTTATTTCTCAGTTTCTTTAAAGATAATTCTTTAAAGATTATTGACCATTTACAGTAGAGAGATAGATGGCTTGTAATTCCACCAGTTAAAACATGGTAATGGTTAAGTGGGGCAACAGCTTCAACTTTGTACTTGATCTTGTCATTTGTTGCAATATACATGAGTGTCAGTGAGTGCAGAACTATCCAAGTGATTCTGTGTGGCTCAGGTAAGGCACACAGGAATGCATAATGCATTCCATATGCAAAGTTAGTACAGCAACTTTTTAATGGCCTCTATTATGTAAAATACTCTGTTGACCACAAGCAACTTATATTTCACTAGAAGAACCCCACAGTCTCAGCAGAGCTCACTGCGAGTTCTTCCCGTAAGCTCACTTTTAAGTAATGTATTTAAGAAAATCATTCCACTTTTGTAAATCAAACCCGAAATCTGCATCGCTTTTTCATTTAAATATTAACTCCACTAGGTGGAGGCATTTGCTCAGTTTTGTTGTTCGCACTAAAGCAACTTGGGATAGCAAGTATAGTGAGCAGGGGAACAAGTCAGAAAGAAGGCAAAGCGCCCTTGTGCAGAGCCTGGTGCTTTGCCTTAACTTGGCAAATGTATCCATGTTGCTACACAGAGTTCAGCATTTGCTTTTAGTATTTAGCAAAGCAAAGTAGCAAAGTTTTCTAGGTTGATGGTGTCTAAATTTTTTTTGTTAGAACAGTTGGAACTTTAAAATAGCCACCATGGGTTGTATAGAAATCATTAACCACGAATCTTAAGTTTTCTTATTTAATTCTGTTAAACAGTTCTTGCATTTAGCAGTGATGTAGTAAGTAAGGGTCTGTAACAATAAAATATATGCTGTTTTCTCTATATTTCAGACATTTCATGTTTAATGTAAGGATAATGTAATATGTTAATATACATATTTTTATGTAATACATAAGCCTTTATATTAGTAACTTCAAGTAAAATGTCACCTATTCAAGTTTTGGGGAAATGCTCTTTTTTGAATATGCTATGCAAGTGACAAAAATGTGTGTGACAGTTCTTAAAGTAACTGAAATATAAAAGGTCTAAAGGACTGTGGGGAAATTTATTTTTCAGTTTGAAGCTTCTTGTCATCTTCTTGGGTTTCTACTTCTCTGCTTTCATTGGTACCAACATTATATGGAAACAGTATCTTTCTACTCACATAGGAAATTCATCTGCCCTTTGTTTTGTATTTGAAGTTATAATGCTCTGTCTCATCAGTTAATTGACTTCAAGGAAGTAAGTCTCTGAAATGTTGAACTTGCTGAAAGCAACCCAATTTTCTTTTTGTGCAGTTGGTTTTTAAAAAGTCTTTCTTGTATAAATACTATTGTCTATAGTTTTATTGTTTTAAAGATACTTTATTACCTACAGCTGTTCTCATAAATTGATTAAAAACATTACAGGGCTTCCCTGGTGGCGCAGTGGTTGAGAGTCCGCCTGCCCATGCAGGGTACACGGGTTCATGCCCCGGTCCGGGAAGATCCCACATGCCCTGGAGCGGCTGGGCCCGTGAGCCATGGCTGCTGAGCCTGCGCGTCCGGAGCCTGTGCTCTGCAACAGGACAGGCCACAACAGTGAGAGGCCCGCGTACCGCAAAAAACAACAACAGCAACAACAACAAAAAAAACATTACAGACTTTTGTCCTGCAATCCCTTTGAGAAAATTTAGTGCTTGATGTTATTATTATTATTTTTTCATCTTACATCTTTGGGAAAGAGATGACAAATCAGATGTTTATAAAACAATTATTAGAAAGAATTCTAACTTTTCGATCTAACAGATCTTGTCTCATATTTAAATATTCCATTTGATTTTTCATTTAAAACAATTATTCAGTATACATTGGATAAAATAAGATGTCTCATTAATCCACAAATGTAACAATTGATTTTCTTTTTAGGATGAAGACCTGGCCCGCCAGTTGGTGGAGCTAGGCTACCGCGGGACTGGAGAGGTGGTGAAAAGGGAAGATTTTGAAGCAAGGAAGGCAGCTATAGAGATTGCAAGGTTGGCTGAAAGAACTCAGAAAAAGTAAGTGTCCATGTTCCAAATGGATTTTATATTATATTGTAGAGTCTCTGGAAAAATCCAATTTTGTTGGCATTGTTGTAATTTAGAAACATTGGTTGGAGCAGGTAGAACTTGGAATATTCTAAGCATTTGTTCTGCAGATCAGGAACTGGAGGAACTGTGATATTGCGATAAAGCCACATGAAACTGTGAGCTACAAATTTAAAAATATAAATACCAAAATATGGCCATCATACCAATAAAGTCCTGTTTACACATAGCTCAATGTTATTGGCTTTACATATTTATATAGTAAAAGTATGAGTGACTTTTGCCTTAGAGTTCTTTGTACTTTTGAGGCCTGTAAATCTTTGGCTTCATTTATGTTCTCACAGTTTTGTAGACATTGATTCATTGAACTCTATTTAAACGATCACTGGCTTTTGTTAATATGACTCATATGTGGTTATATAAAACATGAATCTAATAAAGTATGTTAGGAAAGAGATGTACACCTAAAGTGAAACGTATCAAACTAAGACAATCTGAAAAAGACTTGGCAAAGTAATTATCTATTTACTTTTTAAAAATGATTGCTAAAGCTTTAAATGTTGGTGAGAAAAATTACTTAGAAATTGGTATATTATTCTTAGATAACATTTTTGAAAAGTACCCAGTAATTATGAGTAGAAGTCTCCCATGTATTTATTATAAAAATAACATTTGGTAGTGGAATGTGAATTGGTTCTGGGAATGTGCAATTTTAATTGATTGTTCTAGGTTCTTATATTTCAGAACCCTAGAATATTGTCATTTAATACAGTAACATTCAGTAATATACTAGTTTTCTATTGCTGTCATAACACATTACCACAAATGTAGTCGCTGAACACGACACAAACATATTTATTCGTAGTTCTGTAGGTCAGAAATCAGAGTACAGTGGCTCAGCTGGATTCTCTGCTACATATATCACAAAGTTAAAATCCTGGTGTTGGCTGGACTGAGTTCTTTTCTGGACGCTCTGTGGATGAGTCTGCTTCCACCCTCATTCAGGCCAAATTCATTTCCTTGTGATTATAGGACTGAGGTCTCATTTCCCTGTCACCCGTCAATCTGGGGACTCCTCTTTGCTCCTGTAGGCTGCCCACATTCCTTCTCATGCTTTCCATGTGGCTGCCCGCCAGCAAGAATGGGTCAAGATCCTGTCAACCTTTAAATCTCTCTGACTTCTTATGCAAGTCTTCCCTGACTCCAGCCATAGAAAGATCTCTCCTTCTGAGGGCTCATGTGATCACACTGGGTCCATCCAGATAATCTAGGATAATCTCCCTATTTTAAGGTCTATAACCTTCATTACATCTGCAAAGTCCCTTCCTAACATACTAATAGGATTAGGCATAGGGATCTTTGAAGGGGCCATTCTTCTTACCAAAGGTAAATTTATATAAAACTTCACTCGTTTATGCAACACAAGTATACTTGGCTTCTATTCGTAGAAAATTGAAATGATGCAAAATATATGTGTACATGTGATTTTTTTTTTTTTTGCGATATGTGGGCCTCTCACTGTCGTGGCCTTTCCCGTTGCCGGAAGCGCAAGCTCAGCGGCCATGGCTCACGGGCCCAGCCGCCCCGCGGCATGTGGGATCCTCCCAGACCGGGGCACGAACCCGTATCCCCTGCATCGGCAGGCGGACTCTCAACCACTGCGCCACCAGGGAGGCCCTCTCTTTCTGTTTTTAATCAATAAATATTTATCAGTCAGGAGCAGAAGTATAGAGATTTTTGTGAGATTTTGTAAGGAATTAATGTATATTCATATTTCATTAGAGATGTATCCTATTTTATATCAAGAGGAGTTGGTCATGTTTACAGTATAAATTCTATCCATGTACATGTCCATTTTGTGTTTGGCTCAAAATGAGTATTTATTCTATCGATAGTCTCTTTAACTGGCTAGAGCTGGAAGTCATCAGACTACTTAAGTGCCAGTCTTGGGAGACTAATCCCCACACAGAGCTGCTAGAATCGGAAAGCCTTTTCATCTGCGCATCTTCTCATCTGCCTTTGTAGTGGGATGGGCCCCATATGTTTCCTCTTTCCTTCCCTGCCAGGTCCATTGTAGTGTTATTGGCAGCAGGGCCAGCAGAGTGTGGACACCAAATATGTCCTGTGCCTATATTTGCTTGAGGATCACTTTGAAAATATGCATGAACATGTGACTGCCCGCCAACTGGTACCAACTTGGAAACACGTGATTCTACTATCAGATTATCTTAAATTCTCTAATGTGTGGGTGAGCAGCCCCAAGTAGATCACAATCCTCTTCACTAGCAATCATAGAGCACCCGTTTCAAGAAGTGGTGGCACCTAAGAGTATGTCACTTACTTAGAATAGTTTCATAGATAAAAAGAGTCTGGTTAAAGATATTGGGAGGGGGTATTTTGATAAGTATTTTCCCAGAAGAAGGCATAAAGTACAAAAAATTATTTTGACCCTTTATTTAGTCATTCACTTCACAAATACTCATAGACAACCATACTCCATTAGGCACTATGCTAGGTGCTGGGGATACAATAGAACATAAGACTTAGTCCCTGACCTCAAGAAATTTGAGGGTTAGGTAAATGAAAGACAGTTACCTTGCTGGTGGGAGTATACAATGGAAAATAGTTTGGCAATTCTTCAAATAGTTAAACATAGAGTTACCATATGACCCAATAATTCCACTCTTAGATGTATATCCAAGGGAATTGAAAACAGACGTCCACTTAAAAACCAGTGTTCCTAGAAACGTTATTCATAGTAGCCATAAAGAAGCAACAACCCAAATGTCCACCAACTGATGAATGGATTAAAAAATGTGGTACATAGATAAAATGGAATATTATTTAGTCATACAAAGGAGTGAAGTACTCTTACCTGCTACAACATGGGTAAACCTTGAAAACATTAGGCTTAGCAAAAGAAGGCAGACAAAAAGATTGTAAATTGTATAGTCCCATTTATATAAAATGTTCGGAATAGGTAAATCCATAGGAACAGAAAGTAGATTTGTGGTGGCCAAGGGCTGGAAGGAAGAGTGAAAGAAGAATGATTGCTAATGGGTATGGAGTTTCTTTCTGAGGTGATAGAATGTTCTGGAATTAAATATTGGTGATGACTGCACAACTTTGTAACTATACTAAGAGCCATTGAATTGTATACCTTAAAAGTTTGAGTTTTATGGTATGTGAATTATATCTCAATTAAAAAAGGCAGTTACAACGGAAGATAACATATGCTATCATAGGTGTTGTGGCAACACCCTAAAGTAGTAAGTACTAAGTCAAGATTTGAAGGATGTGGAGAACAGGAAAGGCTCTTCTTAAGGCATGACTGCTAAATTTACCTTTAAAGGATAAGTAGGAGCCAAGCAGGCAAACAAGGGTATGAAGATGGACACATTTACTTTGCCTCAATTCTATGATAAATTTTTCTTCTTCACAAATCATTCTCTCTACCTCTTTGTTTTAACTTGTGCCTATTCCCTTGCTAAGACTTTTTCCCCCCCTAAAGTTGTGCCAGCTAGAGGCCACTCATTTCCACATGTACTGGATTGGTGGTGGTGGCAATGGTGGTGGTAGGAGGGTTCTGCATTTTCCTAGCTTCTTCAAGCTTTGCTTCAAAGCCATCTCTGCTTCACTATCATGTAAACAGCATCTCTCATCTCTCTTACCCTGAGATTCATGCCAGCTGGGTTTAGTAGCCACAAGGCAGAGACTATAAAGTTTGGAAAGAAGGGATGGGATAAGTTTAGCTGGTGGTTACTGAGGTAGCGCCTATCATAAGTCCTGGAGAATTTCTATTTGTAGTGAGAAGTTCAGTTGATTTCTGTGGGTGATGGAGAGATAGACTTTGACTGCACAGAAGTTGAATATTGGGTTCTTGGGATCTAGTTAGTAGTTATAACTGAGTCATCTCTCAGGTGGAACACTTTCCTGGATGAGCTTGTAAGACCATTGGCCTCTTCACTTTGGGTCAGCTTATCTTTTTAGGAGATGAATTAGCTCTTCTTAAAACTGCTTCTGAGATAATCACCTTATTTTACTGAAACACAGAATCTGAAACATAGATGGAATAAATGGCAGCCCTGGTGAACTGATAATTATACTGCTTGGTTGTTGCTATCTTCTCAAGAGACTTTGTGATGAGCCTTTGGGAATTCTTGTAAAGTGAGCTTGACAGGAGTCTCAGATGCTGAATATATAGGGATCCCTGTGATCTCTTTTGCTGAAATGAAGAGGGTATCTGTGGTGATTAAGGAGAAGGCTCTTGTGTCCTTTCATCCTCTGGTACATCTGGGACTAAATTTTAAAAGTTGGACCAGTCCCCAACCTTTTTTATTCTAGCCAATCTAGTCAGTTTATCAACTGTCAACTATTTCTGGTGTGATTGGAGTATTCTTCTTCAATTTGTTTTTAAAAATAGGAGTTGGAAGTATCTATTAATTGATAACATGCTCTTTTAATTTTATGAAGATGAAGTTGGATAAAAGGCCAAAATTTGTTTCATGTAAAATGACTTTACTCCATTCACTTTATGATCAAAAGGGAATACCATATGCTAGTGAATTAAATGAATTTCTGTAAGTTTAAAATGTTCTGCTAGATAAAATCTGACTTCTGTGAAATGGTTTCAACTTTTTGCTTTGTTTCAAATAGTTTATGTTTTAAAAGTTATTCTGATAACACTTTATAGCTCTTAAACAAAAAATATGGAGTTGTGGCTTGTCACAGACTAGCTGCTCCAGGAAGCAGACAGTGAGGGTTAAGAGTGCAGAAGGTTTGATGGGGACGTAACACCTGTGAAAGGAAAAGTGAGGAAAACAGGACTAAGCAGGGTCAGAATCTTGATGCCAAAGTTACAGAGACTCTCCCAGCACAGTGGAAAGCTCCAGGGTAAAGGTTGTCCATTAAAGAAGTCCCACATTGGGTGAAATGTTCAGGCCCTGGTACCTCTTCTGTGCCCAGTCATT